CCATGTCAGAACTATAATAAAAAATCTAACTCGTCTTCTTCTTTTTTTTTTAGTTTGGTATTTTGTGCGTATAATGTTGACGTGTGTGCGTATAGTTCTTCGTTTGTCTTCTGATCCACCACCGGGAAGGCATGTTGCTGTTGGTGGGCATCAGTACATAAATATAAGCAATAAACATAAACATAACGAGCGTGGTTTTATTTGTGCGAGCGTGTAGAAGAAGCTACAAGAGCGAGCTCTGAGCTTTCGGCGTCTATGAAAACACTCGCGCTATTTTAGTGCAAGCCCTGACTCAAAGCAGAGTAATCGTGCTTGTAGCTTCGGCTTCACCCGCAGATGAAGCGAAGCAAGTTATTGGCGACAGGATGTTACGGTGGCGGCCTGTTATGGTTCTATATCCGTGACGTTACGGCCAGCATTGTTAGTAGCGAGCGACAAGGTTCGGTGGTGCGCAAGAAGCACGACCAGTACCGTCAGTGTTAAGAGTAATACTTTCTCTCACCTCCGTCGATGAGAGTAGAAGTAATCCTACTCAAGACGTCATTGTGAGCGTCTGGCCAATCGTGAAAGGCCAATCTTTTTCATATGATCCTTGTTTTTTGTTTAACTGCCATTTGCATCGGAGTGAAGGAAGATGAAGATGATGCATAATACACTTGGGTTGTCAGTCAGCGCTGTGTGAGTGTTCTTCCTGTGTATGCGTGAAATTACTTTTAAGTGTGTCTGATCTTGTGCGCTGTGATGCAGTATCACAGGGACGCTTTTGGTCGCGCACGTCATTAATAGCATAGGTTTCTCACGCCTGTACAGTGTCGTTTGTGAGAATAAATAATTGCTGTCGGAGTTAGTCTATAACCTTTCTGGATAGACGGATGTTGGATAGATGTTAATGGCTATACTCTTTGTAACGGGCGGCAGCTTGCGCCACCTAGCTTAACTCTAAAAAGACAAACATATGATTCCTCCCGCCCTTCTAAGCCTATTTTCTCTCCCTAACACTGACCAGGCAATGTGGGATATCACCAATATCACCTATGGGGGATTGGACAAAAACAAAAAGCTAAAAAAGCATCAACAACTGCCGGATGGATGGATGGATGGTAATGGCTATACCCTTTGTAACGGGCGGCAGCTTGCGCCACCTAGCCTAACATTTCGTCATCCCTTCTACTATTTTTTTTTTTAATTTGTATGAATTTTGTTATAACAGACACCCCTCTCTTTAAAATTTAATTTATTGCCTGTTTTCATATCTTTTTTTTTTTTTATCCCTCCCTAGATCTCTTCCACCAATCTTCCAATCTCCTCTTAGTTACCGCAATTTTTTCCCTATCCATTCGTCCATCCATGTCCGGAAAACCCAGTGCCCCCACCAAATCCGTAGTCATCCCCCCCAAGAGGGTGGGACGAAGCCCCGTGCACCCTAAAATTACATGTTCTATAGTTTCCCTTTGGCGGTTGCATACGTCCACACAGTGTCTACTTCCTGAAATTTAGCCCTATACGTTTTCGGTCGCAGCACCCCCGTTCTAGCCTCAAACAACAAAGAGCTCCCCACTGAATTATCATACAGTTGTTCCTCCTTTATTTCTTGTTTTTGTGCCCTGTATATTGCTAAAGCTGATTTCCCCTGCATTCTCTCTTCCCACAATTTCCTCTCTGTTTCCTTTACTCCCTTTTCTACTGATATGCTCTGATCGGCTCCATCTCGTTGAATGTATTTAAATCTCAGCTTGCGGGTTCGGTTTGTCCACCTAGTGTTTAGACTTTTCCATATATAGATACTTGTACACTTTCGCTGCCCACCGTGTATCCTCAATTTCAGCTAGTCTTTGTTCAAATTTTACTTTACTGATCGCTTCTCTACTCTCGAAAGATGCGCAACCCACATCCCCCTGTACTCCCTCATTTGGTGTATTCCCATGTGCCCCCAATGCCAACCTACCCACACTCCTTTGCTGTATCTCTAAGCCTGCCTGAATTTCTGACCTCATACACAATACCGCATTCCCAAATGACAGTCATGGCACCATGACTCCCTTCCATACACCCCTAATAACTTCGTACCTGTTATAGTTCCATAGTGCCCTGTGTTTCATGATAGCCGAATCTCGTTTCCCCTTCTTTATTACAATATCTTCATGGTCTTTTAGATACCGCCTTCCTTCACTTAACCATACTCCCAGATATTTGTACTTTTCTACGTGTTCTATTAATGTGTCCTGTATCTCCAGGGGCTCCCCCTTCTCGTCGTTGAAAACTATTATACCAGACTTGTCCCTACTAAATTTTAGTCCTAAATTGTCCCGTTTCCCATTGGCCCGGTTGCATCCCATCCAATGATATCCTGTTATGTATGGTGGTTCTTCCATATCCCTCAGATGTGTTTCTGCTAATCCATACACTGCAAGGTTTTCGCTCTCTAATTGCTCCTGAATCTCCTCCCACTTTATTCTGCTCCTGCCCCCCTGCATGTTTATGAACCCTATGTTAAGCTGTTTCTTTTTCCTAGTCGTGCGAGGCTTCCTCTCACCCTCCGAAACCCTCCCCTGTGTATCTACATTTTGGCCCTCATTCACACCGGCACCCTCAGGGCTCCGGGACCCCCAAAAAATGTACGATGTGACGTCCAATCCTATCACCTACCGTGCTCCAATTGATTCCACTGTAGTGGATGCCCCATGTAAAAGGGTCGGAGCGAGCCTCGTACACCACCCTGTTGACTTCCATTACTCCGTACCCAAATCGTCGGCTCAACCCTCTTATCACCCGGTTTGCTTCCACCATCCGCTTCTCTATCTGCAAAGACTGTCCCCAGACCTCTGGGACGGTGCATATTTGCACATGCACAGTCTCAGAGACCTCCCTCAGCTTACGTAACCCCAACTCTATCTGCTTGGCGAGGTTCTGGCTCCGTCCCTTTAACACATCATTTAGTCCTGCGTGTATTACAACTAGGTTCTCTCCCTCCCTGTTTTCCCACACCTCATCCTTCGCTTTGGCCGTAGCGTCTACCATGCACTTTCCTGACTGAGCCACTACATTTACCCTCCCATCCGCTTTTACCCTGTCCAGCAGCCCCTCCCTAACCCTTGTTATGTTTGAGTCTCCTACCACCAGCACCCTCTTAACCCCCGACTGCCTGTCTTCATCCCCTCCAGCTATCTGTGCTTTCTCTGCCTCAACTTCTGCTGCCTTCCTCGAACCTTGCTGTACTGCAGCACTATACAGCTGTGCAGGCTCCTTTCCTGCACAGTCAAACACCCCGTCACACCTGTCTGCCGGCCCCACCGCCTTGTGCTCCTCCGACTCCACCTTCCACTCCTCCACCTGTCGCTCAAGTTCGGCTCGCTGTTCCCGTTCTCGCCTCAGCTCTCCCGCCACGCTATCTACCTTACTTTCCCATTCCCTGGTCATCTCCTCCACATCCGCTTCGGCACTCTCAATCAAATCTCCGACCTGCGCCTCGAGCTGTACCCGCTTTTCCCGCTCTACCCCTATCTCCCGCTTCAACTCCTGAACCGTATCCGCCCATTCCCTTCCTATTCTCCCAAAACCAAGTTCTACCTTCTCGCAACTCCGGCAGGTAAAGCTGCTCTGCTCGGCTTCTGCTACAGTTTTGAACTCCGTCTCCATCATGCCGCACCAACGGCCACACTCTTCACACTCCACATCGGGTCCTTCTTTTACTTTAGGCTGCGCATCCTTCTTCTTTCGCGTATTTACCATTGTCTACCGACACACAGCGCGGCCCCACGACGAATATCCCACCAAAACTCAAACCAAGAAAGCCTGTGCACGCCTCTGCCCTCACAACCAACTAGCCCGCCAAAAATTTCAAACGTGCAGGTGGTTCGGTCTCGTGACACTACCTGAAAAGCCTGCTGAACCGTGACTATCCTAGCGCTACTTTAAACACTGTTTTTTTTTCTACTTATAAAACCACTAGCATAATCAAAAACTGCTTCACAGTAGGGCTGTAAACCTGGAGGATCAACCCCAATGCGGTGTGCCTCTTGCTTTTAGCGCGCAACACCACCAACAACGCCGCCAACCATTCAAACAAAGCCTGTGGCCCAGTCACGTGGCACCGTTGATAATACTCCCGTGCCTACAAGAATCTAAACTAACCTATAAACTATCCTATACCCCTGTACTACTACTACCAAAAACTACCGCCCCTATCCCATGCACAGCTAAATAGGAAAAGAAAACAAAAAAAGTACTTAGCTTCGGGAGCCTGTTCTCCGACGCTGCTTGTTGCCAGATTTTTCAGCCATCTTGCCGTACTTGTTCTGGGAATACATTCGGAACATTCGACGGGTCTTGTACGACGCGTCAGAAACATGGCCGGCGCTCGGTCGTATTCGGATATATCTCACGTGTCTCGCGCTTCAAGTTCACTCTAAGCACGACAAAATTTCCACGCCAAAAATACAGTGCTCGATGCCTTCCAGGGGCTCTTCTCTGAACACTTGGCGAAAAAGTCGACGAGGAATTCGACCACCGTGATTGACCGGCGCCAAGTTCAAGCGCGGCGCCAGCCAATCACGGCCGCCGAATTTCTCGCCGACTTTTTCGCCAAGTGTCCATATTAGAGGCGATAATACCATGATCGCCAAACCTTTAAATAAGCAACAGAAGGCCCAAGAAATGGCACAAATATTAAGCAGTACGCCCATTTCGGAAGTGCATGCCCTCTAGTAAACGCTCTGCGAATCCTCCACAATGGCCGACACAAAAGGCACCACCAAAATTGGAGCCTAGAAGTGCATGCTAATTTCACTTCATTGTTACCTTATGTATTGTTTCAAACATGGACGTTCCGCGGTGTCGGTTGTTCCGCCATTGTACAGCGATACAGACAAAACAATTAGCACGCGCCGAAATCAGTGCACGCGCTCCAGTTGAATAGATTGGACATTTAGTACAACGTTGCCCTCTAGCGTTTCGACCTTAGTAAACCAAGTTTTTCTTGTTGTTGACTGGTTCGTGTGCAGGAAATATTGGGCGACGTGCTGTACACCTGTCCAATGATGTACTTCGCCGACTACCTGTCTGACCAGAGGAACCAGGTGTACGCCTACGTGTTCATCCACAAGCCGTCGTTCAGGCCTTTTAAGGACACACGCTTCGGGCCGATGCTGTACGACGATCTCAACTATCTGTTCGGTGGACCCTTAGCGGACCCAATGAGGGCATCACCCATAGACCAAGAAATCAGCCACCAGGTCATCGACCTCGTCAGCACATTCGCCAAGAGCGGGTAAAAATTTAACGGCCTTTTTCTTTTGTCAGGTTAGGTTTCAAAACGAGAGAACAGTAGGGAATGCGAAAGATTGAGGTTCAGGCGAGAGAAAATAGAATTATTTTGGCAGTTGGACGAACGGCCGTGTTGTGCGGAGGCGCCGGGAAGGCTTCGACGTTTGCCCACGCAAACGTCGAAGAGAAGAGATGTGAGAATGAATGTTGGTGCATGCGTCCTCTCTACCACGTCAGACGGGTACTCTAGGGAAGCTTCGTTGTATACTAAATATTAAACATATCTCGATGTCACCTTCTCGGACGTGCTTTTAACAGTTATGTTATCGAGGGGGCTTCATGGCGTCAGCACATGGGCAGCTCGAGCCTGTTTCGCCCAGCGTCAGAAGCAGTCGGAAAGCCGTCGCGATTGTCCGTGGGAGATAACGGGCTATACTATTCATCAAGCTTGTCGTAGTCAAGCAATGACCTGTAAATGTTTTAAGATTTTCAACACAAGATTTCAGACGATTCGCAGTTCGCATTCGATCTGCCGGCATCGCCTCCGAGGAGACCCCCTGTGGGAGGGAGGGGAGGGTGGGGGGGCATTCGCGATCCGCCGATATGTGAACCTAGATGCCGCATCAAAACAAAATGTCAGAAGTTTCTTATTTTTTTCTTTTTTTAGTAAAGTGTGAATTGTTTCTTAGCACGACGCGGACGCTAGGAGCCAGCGTTCGCGTCGGAGCGCTTGGACCCACCTCCGTCGCAGAGACATCTCGGTCGGAAACCAATAACATGTCACTCTGCTGCATTTCTTCGTGATGTTGTTGCACCCCGCAGCCAGTGGCCAATTTCCCCCACCCTCCATCGCATGCCGCAAACAGCCTTAACCAGACGCAATTCGCAAAGCTACAGACGCTCACTATCTCTACAACGCACAACGCCGTGGAGAGCGTCGTCTGCTCTCAGATACAACATTTGACGTCACGAGGGCCCCTGCTCGCTGTTGCCAGTAGAGTGGTAGCAACTGCTTCGGAGGTGTACGCGTAAACTTTAAAATTTATTTTCTCGAAATAAAATGAATATTTTGATCGAATATTTCGGAGACATACTTAGGAGGGAGAACATACCTCGCATATACATAAGTATAAGGTGGTTCAAGCCATTAGGCTCGATCTAAAATGGACTGTAAAAATCGACGCCTACACATAGCCATCTAAACTTTTCGTCAAAGTTGTATTTCACAGGTCGGTTTTTCCTTGAAAAATTACAGAGCGTAGTTCTCTTTTAGTAAAAAATAGGGCCGAAAAACTTGCCAGGGTCTACGGCGGGCGGCGACCAAGACGACCAAGTCCAGTAGCGGGGTGTGTTTGGCGTTCGTATTGATAGATGGCGTCGGGAGCAACGTCTGAAGGTGCCGCCGACCAGCGAAAGAAAGCAGTCGACACGCAGACAAAATCCGTTGGCAGCAAAAGCGCCGCCGTTATGCAGACGCGTTTTTTTACTTTAAGTTTTTCTTTTATTGTTCGCATTTATTTTTTAAACGAAGGTACATTTCAAAAAGATTATATACATTTTAATGAACCACGGTGGTTGCGAGCTGCCGCGATTAGTCGCGATCACGGTGGTCACAATTAGAGTTCCTGTATAGGCTCCCTACGGGAGCCAAAGTTGCGCGTTCATCCCCGTAGCGCCGTCTTTCTTGCACGGCATGTTGATCCAGCTCGTCGCATGACTGAATTCGGCGAATAGCAGCGCCGCGCTTTCGAGGCGCGCTCAAAAGCAGGGGAACGTTGGGCGGGGCGCGCGCAACGTCTACTTTTCTGCGCGGCACTTGATCCGGCTGATCACGTGATCGGATCTCGGCGAATAGCGGCGCGGCGCCATCTATCAATACGAACGCCAAACACACCCCGCTATTGGACCCCTGTCGTCTGCGTTGCTGCCCTCCCTAGACCCTGGCAAGTTTCTTGGCCTTATTTTTTACAGAAAGAGAGCTACGCTTTGTAATTTTACAAGAAAAAAACCGACCTGTAAAATACACCTTTGACGAAAAGTTTAGATTGCTACGTGCAGGCGTCGATTTTTACGGTCCATTTTAGATCGAGCCTGATGACTTGGGTCACCTATAAGGAGTATTCACTGGCGGCCATAGCTGTGTGCGCGACTGCTGAGCGCGTGCTGATGGCGAGCTTCCACAGTTCTTTTGCACCGTGCATTCCGCACCATCAAGATTGCCGGTCTTAGCAGCCTATTGGTGTGAGCTTGTTCTGAGCATGCGCTCTGAACAGCACCCACAAATATGGCGTCTAGTGAATACTCTCTATATATCGAGGATCAGATTTAATTGCCACCGATAGGAAAGACTGTACAGTACTATACTCTGTTCATCCTTAAGCAGAAATTAAAAGCTTCGTCTTCAACGCAAGGTTGCTGGCTTCCGTGCTTTGGTTGCGCGTGCCTGCGCGTTCGCACGTGTTATAGCAAGGGCAGAACGCTCACGCGGAAGGCGGTGCTTCTAGTCTCAGTTTTAGGGTGAACGGAGTATCGAAGGAATACATGGGCGCGAGGTAGCGGTTAGCTTTCCCTATACCAGCACTCACGCAAAAATAAAAATAAAAGCATTTGGCAAAACTGTGCTCCCGCATCTCAGTCCTGCAAGGGCTGCGCTGTTTATGCCTGGAACGCGTCTCGGACTGGTGTGTTTACCGCGTCCGAAAAAGTTGTCCCTCGATTTCCGCCTGATGACGTCATACAAGTGTCATGGTGTCGCCAGTCGCGATCCTGGCGGCGTCCCAACAGCGGTGGTGGAAGCAGCAGACGCCTGTTCTGCTCACGGTTCTGCTGCGGAAGCGTCAGCAGCCAGAAGTTGGGACGCTGCGACGACAGCGACACTCGCGTTCGCTCGTGCTTTTCGCCAGCATTTCCAAGATCAACCGCTAGGATCGTGACATCCGACAGCATGACACTCTGGCTTCTGTGACGTCATTTGTTGCCACTTTGCGACTACTTTTGATGCAGGCGGGACAAAGCGCTAAACACACTGATGCCCGTAAAATTGCGCGATAAAACCGTTGGTGGGAAAGAAGAGTTTGTGGACCAAGGGTACCTTTATGCACGCTTTGCTTAGGGTGATGACATTCAACCATTTGGTTAAGAACGCTTATTTTAGTTTTGTTCTTGAGCGCGTGAAAGAGCGTCTTCCGGCACGTTCTGTTGTGGTTGCCTGTGCTACTGCGCTACGGCGATATTTTGTTTCCGGCAATTTATTTGTGTTCTCAGTGGGAGCGTATGATTTCGACGCCGGGTACTACAAAGAATGCAATCAATCTAAACACTCCAGTCGGAGACGCGCTTCAGCAATCGTATAAATAGAGGGACATTAGGGAATTGTAGTGGACCGTTTCCGCAGCCCGCTAAGCACCCGGATAGCGCTCCGCAATCCGCCACAAGACCTTGAACTATGCAGACAAGGCTGGCGGCGCGCATGCGCAGCTGCGGCGTTTTCTTCGTGGATACCGTAGCAGAGGAAAAAAAACGATCTACTACAACCCCCTATCGAAGCACCATATATGTGGACATGCATGTCGTCTGTGTGGTGCCCGCCCGCAGGCGTCTTCCGCCGGTGCGCGGACTTCCCTGGCCCCGGTACAGCAAGAAGAGCAGGCTCGTCGTGGACATCGGTCGACCGCCGATGGGCCTGATGACCGATTATTGGGGCAGGTGCGACTCCATTCGGAACTTCATCTGGAAGAGCTTCGCATGAGACGGCTGCCTTCGAAGTGTTTGCGATTTTAATCTGATAATCGCCCGATATTGTGTACGTGTTATGCTTTATAAGTAGATTGACTTTAAATCGGCTTATGCTTTGAATAGTTTCGAATTTGTTACCGCTATTTAATGCTGTTTTTTTTTTTTTTTTCACCTGTGTGCGAATTGATCCTGAGGAAAACGATAAACTTAGCCATTATTTACGTGCGACTCATTCAACGAGCACGAGCGGGTAACTTTGGCTGATGCTTCCGCTGCACGAGTGTTTGTCCCCACGGTAGATTCAAAAGGAAGAAGCTCGCGCTTATAACCTTCGCTTCAAGTTCACGTTAAATTCAGAGTAATTATACAGCGTGACTGTACCGAATGCTCTCCTCTTCGCGCATTTTATCTGTGTTTATATCACCTCAAATTTCTCAGTCGTGCACCGCCGCTGCGAACCAATCTTTCAGGGTGTAGCACTACACCTCAATCTGCATAAAGTGCTACACAAAAATGATTAAAAAATGTTTATTAAAATTGTTCTTATGCACAGATTGTTGTCTCAGTACAATACGGTTAACGTTACAAAAGTTTCTAGAATACAATTCACTGTGCGCAGGATAAGGCGCAAATGTATTGTCCTATTTCATGCCGTACATTGTGTTCATTGCGTGAGCTATTGGGCAGGAGACCGAAAAACAGGGGGCGCTTTCTTGAGCTTGTTGCCCCCACAGTCCGGTGTTTATTAGCGCAGCATAACAAAGGAATTGAACCTCGCCTAGCACGATCTGGGCACGAGCGCTTCGCTCTGATCAAGGCTTTGGTCGTACTCTTCGAATCGTCATCTTCGATTTCTCTGATCAAAAACAAACAAGGAAATTCGGTTTGTTGCCCCCACAGCTAGAACGTACCGCTAGTTGCTAAACAAACTAACAAACATCGCTGAAATAGTAACCAAAATATTTAGTCAAAATATTTTGTTTTTTTATCCTGAAGGTATTGAATTTACAATGTTGGGTCCTCGTTGTGTTTTCCAAAGGGAAAGCCTCTACTGGCAACAATGAAAAAGTGATGTCAGGGGAGGGCAGGTGCAAGGTTATGGTGATGTCAGGGATGGGCAGTATTTCAAATACAAGTATTTGAAATACGTATTTCAAATACTTTGTGTATTTTGCATTTGTATTTAATTACAAATTGGGTAATGTATCTGACGTGTGTATGTAAATACTAAATACAATGACTCCAGCTCGCTTGCACCTTTGCATTTAATTGCTTTATAATGAGAACAACGTTACGGCGAGAATAGGGAGCTGTGAAACTGCGCTTGCTCTAGTAACGTTGGGCAGGGGTTCAGTCTTTAGACTGGAGTCTTTGTTCCCAACTGATTTTAAGCAGTTTCATTGTGTCAAATGAATGCCATGGAAGCTGCAGCTCCAGCACCCGCGCAGCAGCACGGAACAAATGCTCGTCCTAATCCATTTTTAGGCTGCCCGCTCGACCTGCAGGCCTGCCTTTCTTTGCCTTCACGGCATTGAAAAGCGCGAGTATATTTTAATCTTGGTTTGGGCGTCATTTTCACTTGCCGATTTCACAATAACTATCCTTGTTTTCGCGATACTAAATAGCATACCGGAAACGGTAAAGGCCGGCGATACCGAAATGATAGTTAGTTGGGGCAGCTCACAAATAAAGGGACCATGAAAGGATTTTTCCAGCTTTTTCTAAATGAAGACCTCAATTCATTTTCAGTGTCTGTAAAACCCGAAGCAAGAATCCGGTTTCGTTTAATTGCCTCCAGTTTTTGCACACAAGAAGAAAAACCACGCCTGCTTTCCTCCTCGACTCGACCAGACTCGGCCACAAACATGTGCAATCACGTGGCCGTGAAGTAAAGTATGCCTTTCTACCGGAAACTGAAGTTCGTTTATCCGAGCGAGGGAGCCGCGTTGGTACGAGCACTGCGTCACACAGACGTACGCTCATCAAAAATGAATCCGTCGACGAATATTTGAATTCACGTTCGTGGCAAATGAATTCACGTTCGTGGCACTTATCACTGCTTGCGAAGGACAAGTTCCATGGTGTGCTTGAGAAGGACGGTGGGAGCTTGGAGTCATTGTACCGGTGCCCGAGCACTTCATTACCACGTGATTTCTCATTTCGCTTTTGAGTTGAGGATTAGAGCCAAGGAGGAAGAAGTTGAAAAATCATCCTATGGTCCCTTTAAGCTGAGTCTGCAGTTGATGTCAGAAGCACTAAAAAAGGTTGGATTGTGGGTATGTTATTTATACAGCCTGAACTTAGTCTGCCTCGATGGGCGACTTGTCTCTCAGCTGTAGATGAGCAAGAGCTCAAGGTCGCTGCTTTAAAGCATTCTTCCGGACAACGAGAACTCACGCTAGAAATGTATACGTCTCAAAACCAGGAGCGCAGGTAGCGCAGCTAAGCTCGCGCTTGTAGCTTTGGCCGCAGTCTCAGCTTAAGGGTGAACAGAGCATAATTGAATGCGTTTCTTGGGTCATGGCGCTACTAAAAACCTGTATATTTCTTCCTCAGTGACAACTACCCCGTTAACTATTTTTATCGTGCCTCGAATTACTGATTTGTGCCAGAGCTTAGTTTCTGTGCGCAGAAGATTCGAGGATCCAGGAAGACCACCGTTGCGAGTGGAGGAAAAAAATCCTCGCGGCTTGGGAATGAGTTCGTCAGACTCCCTAGGCGTGCGACAGAGCGGCGTTCCTTAGCGGTACCACGTCACGCTTTGTTACCCCCGAAAACCCGGGCACCGGTCAGGCGTGTAGCCAACTGGAGACAACGGCAGACTGTGACCGAGTCGCGACGATGGAGGTGACAGTTCTTCAGTCACTGAGAATCGGTGCCATCGCGCGCCGAAGACCGAGGCGTGACAACTCGAGTGATGAGAGGAGACAAAAGATAATAAAGGGTACTTTAGCAGCAGCCAATACGAGCAGAGAGTTTTTGTTTTTCTGGGACAAAAAGTCGGTCTCGGATTGGTGCTTTACCTTGAAGTGCTTTCGTATAATGACTGGAGAACAAGAGACGCGGGAAAACGCTAGGTTGAAGTCGTCTCCGTAACTTGGGAGCAGTGTTCGGTCGCTTTAAAGCTCCAGCTACTTTGTAGCTGCCGTAGGTATTAATTCTTGGCTGATCTCTCCTTTAAAGATATGATTGCATGGGGAATGTTGCTCTTGTTACCAGTGACGTTGCTACTCATGTGCGCGCTCTCATCAGCCTTGGATACCGATGGCGTGCTTCCTAGCGTCCACTATCACGATACTGCCAACAAAGATCTCAACGATGAAATCCAGTCGGACTCTCCTGCCTTCGTCCGAGACCTGTATTCCCTCCAGTCCATTCCTGTGCCGGGAGTGGACTATGAATTCCGTCCGATTCCAATCAAACTCCCCAATCTTCAAGGACAGGACGACGAACCTGACGAAAAGAGGAGGGACGGCGAATTGGACGACGAAAAACCTGGCAAGGAAACAAGAAGATACACCTACAAGGAACCCCAGCAGAACAACGAACGGCCGATGGAAGAAAGTCGTGGCGATCTGGCGAGGTCTGATGACGACGAAGACTACGATAATTTTGACCGTCAACGAGCCGAGCCCCAAACTTCAGAACGTGAGCCCCTCCCCAGGAAAGCAATATTTGATTCCAGAGAGCAGCAGTACACTGCCCCACGTGCGGGAGATCCAAACGGAAACTACCCGTCTTACCCGCCTAGACTCCCACCTCCTTCCAACCTTAAATCTAGGCTCCAGGCTCAGTTTCCAGCGGCTTCTAACTACAATCGACCACAGCAGTCGTCTCCGTTCTTTAGCAGATCACAAGAACGTCCAGAGCCCCACCAAACCTCATCGACGAGGACAAACGAGCCTAACAGCAAACCAGCCATGGAGTTCCACTTCGACATTCCCAACGACAGATTTCATTCGGACCTGGCCAACGGAAGATTCAGTACCTTTCAGGAAGTGCCAAGCTCTCTTGACACCCTGGTAAGCAGCGACGTCAGCTTTCTGAACAAGATGGTGGCCGATCCGCCGATCCCTGACAACCTGACACGGGAGGGTAGCGACAAGTCGTACAACTCTGGCGGCGGTCGGGATACCTTCAACCAGCCCCAGGCTCAAACCTTCAGCCCATCGGGCCAGCCTTCGAGATACTCTCCCGAACCTTACCAGGACTACCGTGGCCGTGACCGACCGCAGTCTTACGATGGACGTCCGGGGTCGTATGAAGATTCCCGCTTCCAGAGTCCGAGCAGCCACAATGCAAGACAAGACTACCCTTACAGAGCTGCGGCATCGGTTGTGAACTCGAAGTTATCCAAGAAAGGGGAAAAAGCAAGTAGAACGAAACGCGCTTCTAAGACTAGCCAGCTGCTCGACAGAGAAGCCAAGGTATTGAAAATCTTCAGAGCTTTGGCTGTGGGGGGAAACCCAGAGTCGACGATACTGGTAGATTCTAGGATAAGTCTGGACAAGAATAAGAACCCGTACAAGATTATTGTGAAGGCGACCCCCATCTACGACTCCAAGAGCGACCCTGGAGTGACATCGTGTTCGGAAAACAGTACTGTACTCCAGTTCTGCACAGCTGATCCATCTTATCCAAAGTAAGCATACATTATCCTCGCTCCTAAATGTTTGTAAATGAAGCTTAGAAAACAAATAGAGGCAAACCATCAAGATTTATCGCCCTTCGCTGGTACACGAGCAAATACTCAGGATCCGCTTCAATTTGTATGTTTGAGCACATGCGCCTTGCTCTTATTTTTTATGTAACGTTAACTATGAACCAATCAAGAATTGTTTGATGTTAAGTTTCCGTTTAATCAACCCTTATTAAAACCTGTTTTGCAAGTGATGTGTTTAGACATGTAACTGTGTCTTCTACGATTCAATTATAAAATGCACAAAAGGCAAAGTTTGCGAGCAATCTGGACACGTACTGAATCTAATTTTTCAAAATTGACGAACTGTTGTTAAGGTTGTTTATTATTCGTATTGCTTCCTTTCAGGGACGACATTGCCCATGCTCTGAAGGAGGACACTGAGTTTGTAAAGGGCTTGCTAGCCCTTACGACGATCGAGAGAACTTACCCTAAGGTTGGAAAAATTAATGGCATCTGTCCAAGCTTCACGAAAGCGCTGAAGCCTTTGAAAGCCCGAGACGTTCTCGGCGAGTGGAGGGTGATCATTAACACAGCCGGCCTCGAACAAGAGATCATCGTGGACATCTGCAGGTACTTTAAAAAATCTCAATATTATTTAGAATCACGTAACGTTCGATTGCAACGGAGCTCAGTCATTTTGGAGTGCAAAGTGACACAGTTCTGCTGCTTTCTCCTGCGCTATTGTATTCTTTTTTTTTTGAAAACCAATTTGTACAAAGTTTTGATCCTATATCTTTTTCATGCACGCAAGGAGCCGCTTTGGGTACACCTTATTATATAACGATTAGGCAAAGCAGACGTCTATCGTTGAATTCGCGACTCCACTATACGGGACGCCACTATATCGGGCCAATATGGCGGTCGAATCCAGGTCGTGCCGTGCCATGTGCCCGCTGAACGCACAACGCTGGGGCACCAGCAAGTAAGCATTGGACTCATATCTGGTTCCCTTGTGTTTTATCCGCCACGTTTCGAACCTGCGGCGATGTGTTGGGGTAAGCGAACTTCCAGAGGCTTGACTTTCTTCTAGGAAACGAGGAAAGAACTGCCCACTGTCCTTCCACGGTGCTGATGAACGTTGAGAAACGCAGAATGTCTAGCTCAGGCGGTTACATAGGTCGCGTGAAGAGCAAACTGGGTCCCAAGGCGATCCTACGGTTACGACACAGTCACCGGTAGAACTGTTCTGTGGCGCAAACCACCGACAACACAGAAACACGGAAGCCGGAAATCGCCAAGAGACCTGTTTCGGCCAGTTCAGTGTTTTCCCGTTAGGTGCCGTTCGTTTTGCTGGAGTCGCGAATAATGTATATATTCTGCACCAGTATACCCTGCTGCTGTTACATTATATGGTGCTGTAAAAAGAAAAAAAATATTTAGTCTGATGTCTCTAACTCGAGACCAGCTTTAAAATCTGAATTCGAGGTTAAATCATTTTTAAATTAGGAAAACGTTGAATGCTATATTCGTGGTAAACTGTGCTTTGTTACCGCGGATACTGTGGTCCTCGAGTGAAAAACAGTGGAGAATAGGGCGGAAAAGGGGGGTTACCCAAAAATGTCTGAAAACAATTATCTTAATTTTAAACAACAAACGAAATTAACACTTCTTTTATTCTCTCGCCTGCAAAGTTGTTACGCAATAACAAAAGACATGGAAGGAAACAGCGCACCACTAAACAAAGGAACAAAGGAACAGACATGACATACAAGGCTACCGCTGTGCGAACTCGCATTCGCCACCGGATTGCACGAATCGTCCAGGCCCGAATCGTCCGAGCCCATTCAAGACGATTTTTTAGGAAAGGGCTCTCTTTTGACGTTTTCTAAACAAAATTTTGTAGAAAACAGATGTGAACTACGGGTATCTTTCCGGCGTGGTTTATGTAATATATCTCGGGATAATAAGGCAACCATCATAATCGGTAATAAAAATAACATTTATAATACGAGGTAATCATTCACCGAATTAGTAAAAAGATCTCAGCTTTCGACATTAGGGTCAGAAGCTGTGATTGATAAATTGAACTCTTTATAGTAGAATTAACTTTTCCATTCACATAGATAGCTCTGATTCACTACTATCCTGGTCGTCACGGTTAAATCATTGCAGAGCTTTAAAACACTGCAGATTTAAAGACGACTATTTTAGATGGTCTTTTTTTTTCGTCGGGCAATTCAAGAAAAGAATAATTGAACGAATGGCATTGTGACCAACTAATTTATCAGTCTAACTTTGTGTATGCGTAGAGGCTATTGAGTTACACTTTAAATAGTTCTTGTTTTGAAGTATCGCTGTTTTTTATTGTTTTTTTATATTTTTGAAACCACTTCTACAATAGCCCCTTCAGTGGAGCTGGTAGTATTTCCAAATAAATAAATAAAGCACGCAATAGGCGAAGTCCATTTTCAAGCAGATATCCTAAACTTATCTGAGAAGATTAATTCCCTGCTGAGGTCTCTAGACTTGTCAAACACAAATTTGGGGCCGAAGTTCACGGCGTGCGCCCCTTGAACTCTCGTGACAATGACGCAGTGTTTTTGTCGCCGAAATCCAATCGGCCCGCGCCGCAAACTTACGGCTCCAACTTTGAGTTTGACGAGTCTATAGTCCCTGCCCCGCCCGTCATGCCAAGCAATACAGTATTCCGTCGTTATCTTGTTCGCAGCAATCGCTGTCCGATATAACACATTGAAAAAGTTTTACCCCTTACTTCCGCCCTGTAAGAGCATTGTAGTACACACCGAGTCTATCAGCGACGTGATTCCCTTGGTTCTCGACTCCCACTTCGCAGTTCCCAGGGCAGCCAGTGCAGCGGCAAGCCCCCGAGAACGTGCACGCAGTCGTACGGAGTCCGGAAGCTCGGCGTGTACGACACCGGCACGCGGAGACTCTCCAGCGGAGACTTCCGCGTTCCCACCGGCTGCACCTGCGGCAACACCCTGTTCTGAACGGAGCCGACCGCTTCCACCGCGCGCACAAAGCCGTCTCCCACTCCCCTGATGCATATATCAGATTGGCCGAAACGCTCTTCCCGCGTATGACGTTAGAGCACGCTATAGGTCCAAGTAACGAAAGCCTCAGTAGAAAGAAAAATTGGAGTTTGTTTTTGTAATGATGACGGAGTCTTACGCAGAGAGACATGTAGGGCAATCGATTGGACTTTTCTTTTTTTGCTGTTCTTCGATTGAATGAGCGCAGAGAACACCGAAAGCAAACGCACGCAATTTGACTATTGAGCACGAGGCTCGCGCCGCGGCGCTCCAGTTTTGTCAAGCACGCAGAAGGCTGCTCGCAGTCACACCTCCTGCACTTCCGACAAGTATACACGCGGCTCTTCTACTTGGTAGATGGCATAATCCTTTTGAATGCGTGCGCTATATAGTGCTATATAGTTAAGCAATCACGTATATATTTCGACCGCAATGTGTAGACTATCGGTGGATAAAACTAAGTTTAATTGCCTATCGGCGTTCCATTTACCCGTTTTAAAGGCGTGGCGGAGTGGGCTGAAACGCTTCGGCTTAAATGCCGAGCAATATCTAACAAGCTCCGCGTCTTATTTATATGCCCACACGAGCGTGTTGGAGAACGACGTTGTTCCTGCATTGTTGGTGCTCTTTTTTTGGAAGCACCATACAAGTTTAGAGTGCCAGGTAACCTCTACACCGGTGGCCGCTAGGGCAGTTTTAACAAAATAGATATACCTTATAAATATGTAGCGTAAAGGTACAGTCGCTGCTTTTTTAATATTCAGATATCCATGTACCGAATATTGTATTTAATAAAACAGTTTACTACGCACGCTTTCTCGCCTTTTGAACCTCGAGGACAGCAAGAAAATACAAGAAAAGACTCAAGAAACGCAGAGTGTGCACCAAAGCAACATCGTATCGCTCCAATTATCAGATGAGATGGCGGCACGAGCCGACAATGCGGACAGCGAGTCGCCTGCTTCTTGTGCAGGAATTGCGGTGACGTCAGAACGACGCCTATTCCTGATTGGCTCTCATTAAAGGACAGTGGGTAGACCTTAGAACAAGCTGCCTTGAGGTCTACCCACTGTCCTTCAATCAGAACCAATCAGAGCTCGGCATTGTTCTGACGTCACCACAATACCGCTGCAAAAGAAGCAGACGAACTTGCGCTCCGCGTGACGCCGAAGGACGGATCGCTCAGCGAGAATGCTGAAGGTAAGGCACGCCCAGGATGTCAGTAACATATTGCATGAAACAGGAGATGAGGTGCGGTTAAAACGTGCTTCGCGCTTCTGTGCGGAGGACATCAACGAATTATCTCCAAGTCCTTCCCTCTTCCTTGATTCAAGTTCCTCAACAGAGTCGCGCATTGAGAAAAGCCCTAAGCACCTTGTGCTACACAATGCCCAATTAAATAAAACATATGCAACGTTTTTTTTTATGTTCTTTTTCCCCTTTCATAAAGTGTACGAATTGCTTTTTGTCCCCGCACTTCCTTATTCGGAATTTTCCACGCGCTAATGGCACACTTGGTGGAATTTAAAACCGAGTCGGTAAAACAAAGAAGTGTAGCATCACAGTCGACAGTTAGTCGAATTTCAGGGACAGCTTTCACGCCAAAAAAACTTCCGAATGAATCACTGGTACCCCGGCTCGAAGTCGCTACCGCGGTTACGCCTGTGAGACGGCGAACCGCGTTATCGAAGATAGGACGCCCGCGCTGGAGGCAGGGCAACTGATAGACGTCCCTGCCATTCTCGCCCTGAGAAGTAACTTTATAGACAGTCCACGAAACATTTTACCGGGCGCGGCGTTACAACAGGCACTTTTAGCAAACCGTTACCGTGTTCCGCGCATACCGCACTACCGGAAACCTTTGAAGCATGCTTTTGAGCGCGCGCCCGGGTGATACCGGGACCGCGGGGCGCGCGCGCTTAAAAGTGTGCTTGAAACGGCTCCGGTAGTGCGGTACTCGGAACACGGTAACGGTTTGCTAAAAGTTCCCAATCGCGCCGCCGCCGAGTCTTTAAAACGGGGCCTCCCATTTCACGTGATTCTGGGCGAATTCCGCAGCGAAGCCCAGTGCAGCGAAGCTTTCCAGCCTTCCGTGGAAAAGCCTCCTTCACCGAGAGAGACAACTCCGTGATGTCACTCGAATGCGGTCGGAATGTACCCGCTCTCTCCAACAAACTGGACATGCGATCGAGCCTGATACTATGCTGTTGAGTGAAATAAATGCTGTAATTATCAATTGCAACTAAAACACAGTCTACGTCTAAGCCCCCTGACAACGAGACATAATAGGGAGTTTTAGTAAATCGTTTTCAAAGGCCCGCTACCGCTACGGGCGCGCGCTTCAGAGCATGCATCGAAGTGGCAGCGCGAGCTCTCGCTTCAAAAATCGTGACCTTAAAACACGATCTACTAAAACTCTCCAATGAGTCCGAATGCTCAAAAGTGTACAAGGAAAGTCAAAACACGAGCTTGTCCTCAGAAACGCGATAGGTATGAAAACTGCTCTGTATTCAGGACTTTAATCACTCTCTCTCTCTCTTTCTTTTTCTTTCTTTCTTTCATAAAATCGATCCTTGTGAAAGTCTTTAAGAGTGATAAACTTGAACTTTACAAAACGAAAAAAGAAAATAGCCTGAGCAGTAATAAAACAAGTTTAAATTTGAGCGCTTTCGAACGACTTTACGTAGGGGAATATGTCCACCCATACCAATCCCAGTACCAACCAAAATGACGACGGTCAGCCAAGAAACGACGCGCACCAAAGCGTATAGGAAAAACTTATTGACACAACGAGAGCCACTAAATGAGCTACGTTTAGAGTGTGGGTACTTCGTTACCCCATATGCTAGTGGGCGCCGCCATCTTGGTGCTTAGTGTAGAGCAGACGTGGCTGTTGATCGTCCCAATTAAAAAACGCGACTCCCTCAGCTTTAGGTATACGGTGTTAGGAGCCTCGTGTAATATTGTTTTTCTCTGTCGCGAACTGTTTAAACATTTGTGGAGGACGGAAAAGCGTTTCCTGCGATTTCAGATAAAGCTTGAGATAACTCGCAGCCATGATTTGAAGCACCAAGATGACTGAAGTGTCCGTACTCCGAAGCGTAGCTTATTTGGTGGCTCTAGACACAGCTATCCGACCAATACCACCTAGAACACAAGGCCTGCGCGTTTCCTCCTCTAAACGTCATCACTAGTAGATCCCCTCAGCGCCCCCTAGCTAGCCCGGATGAGCAAAATCGTCTGCTACATCGTCTGCTCCATCGCCTGCTTCGGTGGTTTGTGTAACAGATAATGAAACAGATGCTCACGAAGAGTGTCTCTTGGAAATAGCATACGATGAAGTTAGACGTTCACGTGGAGCGTCAAATGCATGAGTGAAATTGCCTTACTGCTGCGCGAAGGGCTGAAAAGCCCTTCATTGGACGCTGGACGCTGACACTGGACGCCATTTTCGAAGGCGCTGTTTATACCCCGGGTAGCTGCTTCGAAACGCTCTACCGCAGAACGAGCGCGCGCGCTAGAAATGCGCGTCTCAAAGCCAGGAACGCGTGCTAGCTCGCGCTCCTGGCCGAGGGTGCGTTCGCGTGCACGTCGCAAATGCACTGGAAGCTCGCTATCAGCTCGCGCTCAGCAGTCACGCACACAGCTGGGGCCGCAAGTGAATGCGACGTAGTTGCGACGCGGCCCCTACTCTCGTCAAGCTTCGGGGTGTTTGCCGCTTGGGGCGGGTCGGGGATCTACTAACGAAACGTCATGCGCAGGCCTTGTCGTCTAGGTGGTATTGATCCGACGCGATACTTGACTTCACGGGTGCTGCTGTGGATTGCCAAATTACAAGGTTGTCTTAAAAATAATTTACCGTGTTTTATTTTTCACCGCAAAAATAAACTGCAAATAACCCGATGCTCAGTCTCCGTCCAAATGTAGCGTCAGAAGTCCGGAAAAAACAAAACAAATTACTCGCAAGTTGTTTATACAACGGGAGTTTAGTCTGCCAGATCATAGCGACATTCTTACCCACTGTAGACGAGCAATTTAGCCAGTGCAGGCAACCGGTAGCCTGGGGGTCTATCAGCAGTGATACACGACCGGACATCGGTATATGCGATGCTCATCCAGACCGAAACGGGCAGGGGTGGGGTCTGAACCCAGGATCCCTGAGTTCTGCAGCGCGAGCTTTCGCTCCACGTGCTCCGAGCTGGTGCGTGCTAGCCCACTTAAAGCGGCACTGACACATCAAAATCATATTTCCGAAACGATTGAAAGCGATGCCGGGACATTACCCTCAAAATTCGAAACTTAGGAATTCAGTATTTGTGAAGTAAAAGAACAATTTCCATATGCCGAATTCGTAGTTCCCGCGCGATCCGCGCCGGTGCGTTGACGTCAAATATTGCGGAGTCCTGAGAGTCTACTTTTTTCCACGACTCCGTGCTGTTGCCACCGCGACCCGATGCGAGGAGGAAAGGAGCGGAGCGGGAGATGGAGGGCGCCGACGGACCGAGGACCGGTCCATGCGGGGCAGGCGGCATGTTTTTCGAGGGAGGATACGATTCCAGAAGGCGACATCACACCGGACTCCCATTTTTGGTATTTCAAAAAGAAGGGCCATAGCCGTTCGCGATTGCGTTAAAAAACATGTTTTACGATTGCCGTTATTAAATGTTAAAGAAATGTCGCCTACAAAGCTTTTAAATTTCATGATTCTTGACGGCACGAATCAAAAGAAGCGAGGAGGCGAAGAGCGGGAGAGGAAAACGCAAAAAATAAAAAGGCGCGCGCGCGCGCGCGAGAAGTGTTTTTTTCGCGACGCGTTTTTTTTTTTTTTGCGTGTTTATGATTATAACTTTCATCGTTTTAGACAATGAAAAAAGAATACGACTCTAGGGGTGTCAGTGCTTCTTTAAAGCCCCTTCATGTTTCAAAAGTAGTGCATGGTCATAGTCTCCTCTATACTC